AGTAGCTGGGACCACAGACACCCACCACAATGCCTGGCTATTTTTTGGTTGCAGCCATCATTGTTGTTTGGCGGGCCCAGGCTGGATTCGAACCCACCACCTTAGGTGTATGTGGCTGGCACCTTAGCCACCTGAGCCACAGGTGCTGAGCCTGTTTTGGGGTATCTTAATTGTAATTCTCTCATCTCAGGCTATGGCCTTATAGTCCTCCCCATGGTTCTCTACCATGTAGCTTATGTAGTCAACGAGGTCAGAGACAAGGTATTTCTTTTTTTCTGGAAGGCTGGCTTCTGCCTCCAGGTCATTCAGCACATAAGGCTTCAGCACAAGCTCCTTAGGCCTCTCCTCTACATTCATCTCCAGGGACTTCACCATTCTCTTAGGTAAGGGCAACACCTTATTGTGTTCCATAGCCAACCCCATCTGGGCCAGGTTCTGCTGCACCAATTTAGCATGGTCCCAAGCATGTCTTACATGTGAGGACTCTATCTGCAGCACCTCCTTCCATTGAGCATTTGGGTTCAGATGCTTTCAGCTGACATTGTAACTGAACTTCTGCCTCCGGGTCTTGCCCTTGCCCTTGCCCTTGGGCATTGTGCTGACCATGGTAGTGGCACCTCACATTTGGCAATTCTTACACTGAGAACCTTGTGCAACTCAGTTAATACTTTTTAATTATGCTTTTCTGGAAAATCTCATTGATATGGTCTACACATGCCAGTGCATCACTTTCAAACTCAAGAGTGGGTTTAGGTGCAAACAAAAGTACTTCCAAATAAAACGTCCCAGAGCGGTCCAGTAGATCTCAGTGCATCATTGTGTGACAAACTAGGGGACCAGAAAAGCCTTCAAAGGAGCTGCAGCCCAATCCAATGCCTGGAAGCAGGAAGTGAACTCCAACTCAGACTGTTTCGGAAACTGTCAGGAGCTTAGAATGTCACAGCACAGGATGGGTGCCTGTAACACAGTGGTTACAGTACCAGCCACATATACCAAGGGTGGCGGGTTCAGACCTGGCCTAGGCCAGCTAAACAACAATGACAACTGTAACAAAAAATAGCCGGGCATTGTGGTAGGTGCCTGTAGTGCCAGCTACTTGGGAGGCTGAAGCAAGAGAATCACTTAAGCCTAAGAGTTTGAGGTTGCAGTGATCTATAATGCCATGGCACTCTACCAAGGGCGAAATAGTGAGATTCTGTGTCAAAAAAAAAAAAAAAAAAAAGTCACAGCACAGTGCTGAAAGGAGGGGTATGAGGGGCAGGGTAGGGGGTGCTGGAGGTGCAGGGGCAGCTGAATGACAGTCCTGGAAGCCATGGCTAGGAGATTGGATTTTGTCCTCAGGGAAATTGGGCGTCACCATTTTTACACTGACTCTGTTAGGAGAGGATAGAGACCTGCACTGCCATCCAGATGGGAGCTTGGGAAACAGCCCCTGGGATGACAGGGATAGGGACAGGACAGGCTCCCTCAGTACCAGTTGACTGAGGGGATGGCAGAGTGGGGAGAGGTTGTTACTGCCTCCCGCATTGCCTTCCTTTTGCCACTAGCTCCTGTTTCTGCCCATGGCTTCCAGGTGGACAGTCCCTTCTGGGGATCCCTGGTGGGAGTTCACTCCATCCCAGCTCTTTGCCCCCCCCCCCTTGCAGCACTAAGGAACACCCTGCAGACAGTACTGAGCGGACTCCCCATCATGCCGGGTGGGCTCGCCCTCCCCACACTCTGCCGCTTTCTTCTCTCTTGGGCTTTCGCCATCTTCCACAGCGCCCAGGGAGACCCAGGTAAGATGGGAAAGGAGACCAGAGACAGGAATCTGGGGGAGAGACGCCAGGGGTGGAGAAAGTGAAAAGGGCACCTGTTGAAAGTACCCAAAGAGTGAGTCCCTGCTGACGAGAGGGTTGGGGGACGCTGGGGAAAGCATTTGGGGCAGTGAGGATCAAGGGGTTCCTGCCATTGTGGCCCCCTCTGCTCAGCATCCCACCCGGGCCCCCACTACCTCCTGCCCCCCATCCACGAGGTCATTCACTCTCGTCGTGGGGCTACGGCCACGCTGCCCTGCGTCCTGGGCACCTCGCCTCCCAGCTACAAGGTGCGCTGGAGCAAAGTGGAGCCGGGGGAGCTCCGGGAAACGCTAATACTCATCACCAACGGACTGCACGCACGGGGGTATGGGCCCCTGGGGGGGCGCGCCAGGATGCGTAGGGGGCATCGGCTAGACGCCTCCCTGGTCATCGCCGACGTGCGCCTGGAAGATGAAGGCCGGTACCGCTGCGAGCTCATCAACGGCATCGAGGACGAGAGCGTGGCGCTGATCCTGAGCCTGGAGGGTAAGGCCGTTCTGCTCCCGCCCCTCTTTGGCTGTGTGTGTGGGGCGGGGTAGGATGGCGCCTCTCCCGGGGTCCTCCAGGGCTCCCGCCCAGCCTCTCCCCGCCCCAGCGGGGTCCCCGCAGCTCCCCGGCGTGCTGGTCCTGCTCAGCCTCTCCGCCCACAGGTGTGGTGTTTCCGTACCAGCCCGACCGGGGCCGGTACCAGTTCAATTACTACGAGGCGAAGCGGGCGTGCGAGGAGCAGGACGGACGCCTGGCCACCTACGCCCAGCTGTACCAGGGTGAGCGGCCGGACTCCGAACGGCCTAGGCTCTCCCGGAACCGGAACCACGCGGGGTCTGGGCTCCCAGGGGCGCTTTTCACCTGGCTCCTCTGTCTCTCACAGCGTGGACCGAGGGGCTGGACTGGTGTAACGCGGGCTGGCTGCTCGAGGGTTCTGTGCGCTACCCGGTGCTCACGGCCCGCGCTCCGTGCGGCGGCCCGGGACGGCCGGGAATCCGCAGCTACGGGCCCCGCGACCGGAAGCGCGACCGCTACGACGCCTTCTGTTTCACCTCGGCGCTGGCGGGTGAGGGGCAGCGAGCGCCGCCAGGCTGGGACTCGGGACGTGGGGAGGAAAAGGGAACTCGGAGGGCGCAGGATCTCTCCCAGGCGCGGTCCCCTCCGCCGGCCCACCCAGCTCCGGCCCTCCTCTGGACACCGCGCCTGCATCCCGCTGCACCCTTCTCCCACCCATACCTGAGCCAGGCCTGCCCTGTCCCAGCCCTTCCCCTGCCTTCGCTGCGCGGGGGTCTGAACTCCCCCGACACCCTCCGTCCCCGCTTTCGGTAGCCGGTGACCTGTTCTGGTCCCCAGGGCAAGTGTTTTTCGTGCCCGGGAGGCTGACCCTGTCCGAGGCCCACGCGGCGTGCCGGCGGCGCGGGGCTGTGGTGGCCAAGGTCGGGCACCTCTACGCCGCCTGGAAGTTCTCGGGGATGGACCAGTGCGACGGCGGATGGCTGGCGGATGGCAGCGTGCGCTTCCCCATCACCACGCCGCGGCCGCGCTGTGGGGGCCTCCCTGACCCCGGGGTGCGCAGCTTCGGCTTTCCCAGGCCCCAGCTGGCGGCCTACGGGACCTACTGCTACGCAGAGTAGCAGGGGCCACCGCATCCCCGGCACGCGCGACGGGTCTCTTGCCGCACCTCTCCTGCGAGCCTCCGCCAGACGAGGGACAGCCCCTCCGGACCTGCCTTTTCAGCCAGGGCTGCAGGCCACGGACCCTGGCAGGCCGGGCGGCGGGGCACAAACGTTAGTTACCCTTGTTACCGTGGAGCCCGCGGATCCTCGTGCCCTCGTAGAGGACGCAGGCCCGGCTCAGGGCGGGAGAGGCGCACGGGACATTCCCTGACCTCTGGATATAGCAATAAAATAACCTGGGGCCATCTGTGCTGGGCGGAGCTGCAGGCGCTGCGAGGCGAGCTCTGTGTGTGTGTGTGTGTGTGTCTGTGTGTGTCTGTGTGTCTGTGTGTCTGTGTGTGTGTCTGTGTGTCCCCAGGCTGATGTTGCGCTAAGTGCCACGAGGGGGCGCCACACACCCACCTGCTACGAAGGAGGCAAACACACCGGCAGAGAGCGCTCCGCACCCCCCAGGCACACCCTACAGGCTGCAAAGAGCAAACACCTCTGTAGGTTGACCAACCAAGGGCCTAGAACAAACTGAGGTGGTCAACATAAGGAACTAGGCCTACTGTATTGATGCATACACGTGATGCATGTCTGGTCTATGAACATTAGGTCAACTTAAGGAGGTGGTCAGTGTGGAGAGGTGGTCAAAATATGGAAGTTCTATTGTATAAGATGGAGCTAAACATATTTCAAAATGTGTTTGTGTAATGCTGGCCCCCCACAAGGATTTGTGGGAACTAGTATTAAAGACTGGAGAGTTGGCCAGGTGCAGTGGCTCATGCCTGTAATCCCAGGGCTTTGGAAGATGGAGGTGGAAAAATCCCTTGAGCCCATGAGTTGTAGACCAGCTTTGGACAATGGAGTGAGATCCTTTCTCTACAAAAAAATAAGAAAAATTATCTGGGTGTGGTGGGGCACCTCTGTAGTCCTATCTACTTTGAGGCTGATGTAGGAGGCTTGCTTGAGCCCAAGAGTTCGAGGCTGCAGTGACTATGATCTGGCTAGTGCATTTCAACCTGGGCAACAGAGCAAGACCCTGTCTCTTCAGAAAAGGAAAAATCATACCATTGTGCAACTGGCAGGAAGTTAACCCAGGGAAGAAGGAGGGAAACCCAAACACTATGGCCACCAAAGCAAAATTTTGGAGGAAGTAGACTAGTAGTTTTTTTTAACATACTAAAGTAAACATACTAGTAATTTTAATGTTATTAATTAATTCTTCATATATAGATATTGTTCAAGCAATCTTAATTATACCACAAAAAGCCTGGGCTACTAATAGTAATGAAGCAAAGGGTATGAACATCCTAGTAGTAGTGTTTGTTACATGTAAAATTACTTTTCCAGAGGGCTTTTGCTATAATTGCTAAAGAGAATTCATCCCAGTTTCTTGGGTGGTGTTTGCTCTTTGTAGCCTGTAGGATGTGCCTGGGGGGTGCAGAGCATTCCCTGCAGGTGTGTTTGCCTCCTTCTTCTGGGATAGAGAATGACAGAATGAACAGGGTCTTCAATAACCATCATGCAGCAAACCAATCCCCCGGGCTGCTTGGTAAGAAGCTGAATAGGGATCACTACCCTTGTTGCTATAATCGTTAGTAATTATCGTATGAATTGGAGTACCCAGTACATGTCTCAACTAATTCTCACAACAAATCCAAGAGATATACATTGTTATCCCATGACCCAGATGAGAAAACCAAGGTTCAGGAAGTGGCACAAATGTTTCATTTGCTGTCTTATAGATATTATTAATCATGATCAGCTAGATTATGCTGTGATAACAGACAGCTCTTAAATCTCAGGGCTTAAAACAAGTAAGGTTTAATATTTACTCACACCACATGTGCAATGTGGTCAACAGGGGGCTTCTCTAATTTTTTTTTTTTTTGGAGACAAGTCTCACTATGTTGTGCTTGGTAGAGTGCTGTGACATCACAGCTACCTTAAACTCTTGGGCTCAAGCTATTTTCTTGCCACAGCCTCCCAAGTAGCTTGTACTACAGGTGCCCGCCACAACGCCTGGCCATTTTTTGTTGCAGTTGTCATTGTTGGTTAGCTAGCCCAGGCTGGGTTTGAACCCTCCAACTCTGGTGTATATGGCTGGTGCCACAACCACTGTGCTAGTGATGCCAAGGCAATCTCCTCTCATTATTGTCATTCAAGGATACAGACTGGGCTCAGTGCCCATACTCAGTGGTTAGGGTGCTGGCCACATGCACCAGAGCTGGTGGGTTTCGAATCCTGCCTTGGCCTACTAACCAATAATGACAACAACAACAAAAAAAATAGCTAGGCATTGTGGTGGGTGCCTGTAGTCCCCGATACTCAGGAGGCTGAGGCAAGAGAATCACTTAAGCCCAAGAGTTGGAGGTTGCTGTGAGCTGTGATGCCATGGCATTCTGAGGGCAACAAAGTGAGATTCTATCTCTCTCTCTCTCTCTCTCTCTCTCTCTATATATATATATATATGGGCGGCACCTGTGGCTCAAAAGGTAGGGCACTGGTCCCATATGCCGGAGGTGGCGGGTTCAAACCCAGCCCCGGCCAAAAAAAAAAAAAAAAATACAGACTGATACAGCAGCTGCCATCTCAAATGCCGCCAATCACCATGTCAGAAGAAAAAAATAAAAATAAATAAAAAGCGCTGGAGGGTCCTACACAGGCAATTAATAATTCTCATCCACAGGTGACATCTTTCCCTTTGGTTCATGCTCATCCATGGAACTCGTCATGTGTCCGCACCCAACCCAACCATAAGAGAGCAAGAAAGAGGAATCCTATTTCTGCCCAGAAGTAGGAGAACTGAACAATTTCTTTCTTTTGGCTTTTCTTTTTTGAGACAGTCACCCTCTAGGTAGACTACTCTGGTGGGTAGAGTGCTCTGGTGTCACAGCTCACAGCAACCTCAAATTCCTGGGTTCAAGCAAGCCTCCTGCCTCAGTCTCCTGAGTAACTAGGAGTACAGGTACCTACCACAAACCCCAGCCAGTTTTTCTATTTTTAGTACAGACGGCTGTCCTGCTGCTACTCAGGCTGGTCTCCAACTCCTGACCTCAAAGGATCCTCCAGCTTTGGCCTCCCAGAGTGCTGGGATTACAGGCATCAGCCATTGCACCCAGCCTCAGAACTGGAAATTTGATGAAAAGCACCAGCTTCCATCACAAGCACCAAGTAGAGCGGTTCAGATTTCTGGGGAAAACTGGTAGTTACCCAACCTTCTACTCTTCTGGGTTTTCTAAGTTCCGTTTTATGATGAAGTCAGAGCCCCAGTAAAATGTGGCTTTACCCAGAGACAACACCAGAAAATGAAGAAAGTCCAGCCCAAGGTTAAGAAAACAAAGCACCAGAAACAGTATCTTGGCTTGGCACCTGTGGCTCAAGTGGCTAGGGCGCCAGCCACATATACCTAAGGTGGTAGGTTCGAATCCAGCCCAGGCCTGCCAAACAACAATGATGGCTGCAACCAAAAAATAGGCGGGCATTGTGACGGGTGCCTATGGTCCCAGCTACTTGGGAGGCTGAGGCAGGAGACTCACTTGAGCCCAGGAGTTGGAGGTTGTTGTGAGCTGTGATGCCACAACACTCTACCCAGGGTGACAGCTTGAGGCTCTGTCTCAAAAAAAGAAAAAAGAAAAAAAAACCAGTATCTTCAAGGGCTGGTTGAGATGTCGCTTTTACGGGATCTGTAGTGGGCCAGAAAGGGGTTTCTGAGAATTTAATTGGCCCAAGTCAATGCAAATTAGGTATCAAAAAATCAACCAGTCAGCATCATCTTACCCCCTGTGAGCTGACACACTGTTTCATGCAAATAAGGCATTGAAATCTGACCAATTTGGTGACTTTCCAGGGATGTGCCCCCTCCTCTGGGGCTGGGTGATGGGGGGAGGAGTGTGTGCGTGTGTTTGTGTCCTCACATTAGGCCTACTAACACCCAGAAAGTCAAGATTCTGGGCGCCAACAGTTCACCTGGCAGGTAGATGACTTAAAAAAAAAAACCTTTCTTTCTTTCTTTTCTTTTTTTTTGAGACAGAGTCTCAAGCTGTCGCTCTGGGTAGAGTGCCATGGTGTCACAGCTTACAGCAACCTCAAACTCTTGGGTTCAAGCCACTCTCTTGCCGCAGTCTACCAAGTAGCTGGGACTACGAGTGCCCGCCACAACACCTGGCT